GTAACGCTCATTATACGGTACCGCTGCACTTAGAGGCGCGAACGTCTACTGCTGCCTTCGTGTGCGCCGAAACGCTTCCTTAGTGCTTTTGGTTTCCTCAATTTCAAACCTTGAAAGCGAAATGCAGCGTCCAACGGCAGCGGCGTGTGTGTGTCATGTCAGTTCGATTATCTGATTCTTGCGCCGGCTCCATGGGGAGGGGGGGAGACGTATTATTATACTCCAATTTAGGATGCAGAGTTCAGGGGAAAGGACGAGGTAGCTGGCACACACCTGTGCCTGAAATGGGCATGCACATATATATATATATATGTATGTAGATACCTATATGTATATATAGATGTATTTATAGATGTATGAAAGCACAGCCTCGAATGTCATACCGGATCTCTTTGGAGTATGTAGGAAGTAGCGAATATTTTGGTGTTTGCGGATGCGCAGCGAACTCATCTTTCAGAGGAGCTCCTTACAGTTCTTTTCTGTTCTGTTGCGTCAGTTGACGTCCGAAGAGACGATGGAGGTTCTCATGGACATGATTCTCTCGAACGTATGTCTTTCCCTGAGAGGCTACAGTAGCTGCCCCTAAAGAGCTGCCTACGAGCAGCTCTACTGAGAAGGCGCGCCAAGAAGTCATATCCTTCTGCTGCCTGTGAAGCTAGACACACGGAGGAGGAGCACGTGGCATTTGGGGTAGGGTCGCGTGAGTTTTGAGTATCCTTTTCTGGGTTGAGGCACTTTTTGGTTTGTTCGCAGTGCGCCAGTTGTCTCTCATCGGCAGTCGCAATTTTGAGCGATGTGCTGAACTGTACCTGCATTGGCAACCCGCTCACATGCAGCGGTCGGAGCTCCCCAGGCGTCAGCAGTACGTTAGGAGACCCTTTCACGCTGCAGCAGGAGACAGTGCAGCGGCTGGGAGGCAGCCTAGAGCACCAAAAGGGGCTGTCAGAGGCGCTGCTCGAGCAGCCGATGGAGCAGCAGAAGCAGCTGGAGGCGTTGCGACAAGCGTGTGTTGCACGCAGTTGTGGCAAGAACGCATGCGATCCTGGGGATGTCACGCCGCAGCAGCTCGAGCGCCAGTCGTCTCTTCTTCCTGCGGAGGATGAATACGAAGACGAAGGGAACGATGCCGATGCGGCACCTTTCGGATCCTTTGAGCTGCCGCACTCTACTCCTTACTTTTCCCACCATTTGCAGCAGTCCGAGCCTCTCGCGCAGCGGTGGCAGCAAGGCCTTGCCGAGGGAGCAGCAGCAGCAGCGGGAGGCACCGCGCATGCCGAAGCTGGCAATAACTCCCCAAGACTCAGCACGCTGAGCAACGACTCCAATCAGCAAGGCCTTTCCGGACGGCTCCCTTTGCCTCCGGAGGAAAAGCGGCGCGAGCAGCAACAGACGCAGCAGAAGCAGCAGCAACGCACCGAAGGAGAGGAGGCAACCGCCCCCGGTAGAGACTTCAGGAGCAGCCAGAAGCTTCCGGAGCAGCTAGGGCAGCGCACTGAGGAAGACACAGAGACAGTTGGAAAAACGCAGCCTTCCAGGCAGTGGGAGGACGAATGCTCGCTTTCCCCCTATTTTCGCCTTCCCCGCCAGCAGAGCAGTACACGGGACTGGCTGGAGATGCTTGAACGAGGGGAATTCGTTGAGCACCATATCGTTCCAAAAGTCCGTCCGCCTTACCCGCATGCATTCAAAGCTTTGCTGTCTAGTTTTGCGGTCCATAGTATAGAGCGTGGAGCACGGAGTCTTTGGTGCATCTCGCGCCTCGTCCTCCGTCTTTTTTTAAATGCGCAAAGCCCTTGTGCCACCTGGGCAGCCTTCGTGTGTACGTCTGTGTGTGTGTTTTGCCGCACAGTTGCCGCAACTGTTGCAGCAGTTGGTCTTTGCCAGCTGCATGCCTCCCACGTGGAGGCTTGACGTAAAACAGGTGCTGTATCCGTGGCAGAAGCAGAAGCATTGCGAGGACACGCAGCAGCAGCAAGCGCCTTGGGAAGGGGAGGTGGAAGAGGATCCAGCTAAGGAAAATGGAGCCGAGGTTCCCGACGGCTCTTACAACACTGACAGCAGCTACAGCTTCTTGCGGCCGCTATGTGGCACCCAACGGCAAGTGCATTTGCCGAATGGATCTTTTCCAGCGGTTGGAGTGGAAGCGCTCGAATTGCTGACGCTTGTCAAGGGCCTTCTCAGGACAAACTCGGAGGTGAGAGGTTTCGCAGCCTAAGGTTCCTTTTTTTCAGTCATTTGCTGGGTGCCTGAATGCTCTGGCAAGCTCTTTTTTCTGTGCTGCCTTATGGGGAAAACGTGTAAGCTGGTTCACATGTGTAGGGGTGTAGGGGTGTCTGATGTGTGTAGGGGTGTACAGTATATACATATACATATATATATATATATGCATATATATATATATATATATATATATATATATATATAAGGTGTGCGTCTATGTGTGTATGAAGTGTTGGTACGCTAAAAGTGTTTTTTGTCATGAGGCAGTTGGCCGAGCCACCTTGCTGTGAGGCTTCGCAGTTGGGCTGCTTGTGTGCATTCTGCTTCCTGCTCAGGTTGTAGCCAGAAGTGTAGTTCAGTGTGGCTTTGTGGAGACTGCAGTGTATCTCCTCTTCAAGTACCCTTGGAACTCGCTGCTGCACATCTCCGTCATGTAGGTCTCCCCCGCTTTCTGTATATATACCTATATATACACCTATATATATGTATATATACCTATATATATACCTATATATATACCTATGTATATATATATATATATATGGCAAAGGGTCCATCATGTGTATGTCGGTCTCTGGGGTACATTGCATGCATGAATGCTCGCATGCATGCATGCATGCATGCATAGTTAATTCTAGAGATGACGGGATCACATGGGGCGCTGGTGCTGCTGCTGCTGCTGCTTCTGCTGCTCTCCGACGGCTCTGTTTGGCCTTCAGGGATTTGCTGCAAGCTGCCATTTCGAGTCCGATGAAGACAGGCGTTATCGAGGTTATCATGCGGAAGACGGCTCTGTTAGAGCGCATCAGTGCGCACTTCAAGTCCGTGAGGTTCTTCCACCTGGGCTGCACGCAGCAGCAGCTTGCAGGCCTGTGAAGCAGCATCTCGAGGCAGGAGGATTTGAGCAGCGCAGGCTGTCTCACGCTGCGTAGTCTATCTCAGCTGCCAGCGAAAGCCGTGCAAGCCGCTGCACGTGTATTCTCGACAGGGGGTCCGCGCAGTACAGCACGGCATCGAGGGAGCTGCTGCAGCACTCTGCAATGCCTCTGCGGCAATGTGTGTTCTTTCTTCTGTCTCTGGTGATTCTTGCCTTCAGGCACAGCCAACAATTGCGTGTCAAGCGGTTGATGGAACGAAGTAAGAGGCAGGGTGGATTCTCGGGTGGCGAGAGGTACTCCCAAAGAGAGGACAAATCGCAGAATAGCGATTGCCGCACGGCTGCGCGCTCGACAGACGATGGCCAGACGGTTGCCACTGCTTCTAGAAAGGAGGATTCTACTGCCTTCCCAGCGCGTTCGTGTATTCTTGGAGCTAACAACTCGCCCGTGTCAGTTGCTGCTACACCTGATGGTCCCCCTTTCTCGCCGTACGAAGTGGCGGAGTCAGTTTTATCGGGAGGTCTTGGTCGGCTGGAGGAAACGTACGGCTACGCCTCGCACTTGGTGCAGCTTGCACAGCTTCTCCTGGAACAGAATGAGGCCACAGAGGTGAGTCTGTAGCCTTCCCCGAGACTTTCTGCAAGCAGCCGCCGCTGCAGACATGTTTGCAGCCCTTATTGTGAGGCTGTGTATAGCCTGGGGAGTGAGCGTAACGAGACCATCCTGCTGCGCAGAGCTGCTCTTGCATGTGCGCATGCAGGAAGGGGGCTACCCTGAGGATTGGCAGGATGTGGTGGACGCGGAACTGGCTTTCTACAGAGCTGTCCTGGTAACTATTTGGCATGCATCTAGGGCGGTGTAACGACTCCTTCGATCGCGCTGAGGGCTAAGCGAGGAGCCTCCCGAGGCTGATAATGACTCGGTTCGTGGCTGCACGGCCTCTTGCTCTGCAGCTGTGATCTGAGCCTTGTTTCTGGGGGGTGTGTCGCAGCAAGTGGACAACTCTTCAGAGCGTACAGTGGCCAGCGACTTCCCGACCCTCGGTGGATTGGTGAGCCTTAGCCGCATTAGGGGGCCTCATTCCCCCATCCCAGTGCCTAAGAAATGCAGAAGCGCTCTCGAGCCGAAGGCTCGAAGGGGTCGACGGAAAGGGGGGTCGAACACAGTCACCGACATACGAGGATGCAGACTAGAAAAAAAGTAATCAGGGATATTATTAAGGCGGGAGCATGGCCACGGACGGGGCAAAAGGCTTCTGCTGCGCGGCTTCTTGGCCGCATGCTGCAGTAATGAAGCCTCTCGGCGATATATATACATATATGGGTATGTGTATGTATGTGTGTATGCATGTATGCATGCCAATGTGTATGTGTGCGTCTATATATTATGTGTATGTGTGTGTATGTATTATGTGTATGTGTGTGTATGTGTATGTGTGTGTGTGTATTATGTGTACGTGTGTGTGGGTGTGTTTGTATGTATATACACATATAGATATGTATATGCGTGTTCCTCTATCTGCCTGACTGTATCTATTGCAGGTTTCTTAGAGCACAGACCTCTATCAAAACGCCCAGTAAGACAGGTATACTGGAGATGCCCTGAACTCGCAACACATCCAAGCTTCCACTCCTTGCTGCTGCACAGCGACACCGGTGAGCATCCAGCCAAGCTGGCTTGCTGATGGACTACAAAAAGGACGACCTTGAACAGAAAGAGCTTAGGCCAGTTTGAACTTGGAAGTGCCAAGTCGTAGGGAGTCTCGAAACCACTGGAGTGTATTTACTTTAGGCGGCCTTTGTGGTCCTCCTTAGCTGACCCCACTGCATGTCTTACAGGCACACTCGGGAGGCAATTGTTTGAAACTGCGCCCTCCTGTGGCTCTTGAACAACAAAGAGCTTTTACTGCCCGTTTTCTGTGAACTTAGCCCTCCGCTGAGGGATGAAATTCCTTTTGCGCTCTTTGGCAAGCGTTTTTTTGCATGCCTTAACTTCGTGCTGCGTTTGCTTTTTAGAAGACCTCGACTGCATCTGCTGCTCCCTCAGCAGCTCCCGCAACTTGCGTCTGCTCACATAGTGAGGCGTCTTGCCAGTAGCAGCGATCCTCTCCCTCTCGGAACGGCTCAGTGTGGCCTTCAGAGCCGCAGTTGCTGCGCGTCTCTCGCGCTGCTGCTGTTGCGACTCTAATTTCTGCAGCTGCTTTGCTGCCTGCTCCCTCTCGGCAGCACTGGCTTTTCGCCCTTTGCTGCTTTCGCCATCAGTACCCTCTGGCACCCTGCCCGTCCTGACTACGCGTTGCAGCTGCCTCATCAGCTGCTGTTGCTGCTCCTCTACAAAAGCATACGCCTTCGAACACGAAGAAACATTAAGATCCCCACACAGACTCGAGAATCGCGGATCTCGGCTTTTCGCGCCAGCACTGCGCTGCTCAAGACCCCCCCGCAGCTTCCTCAGCTGATGAGCTGCTACCGCTTTCCGATACGCCTCTACCTCAGGCGTTGTTGCAGTCGGACTCCTTGTCGCTGCTGAAGCTACTGGCGCTGCTGCCAGCAACAAAGGCCCTGCTGCAGCTTCCCCGTCCGGAAGCACGAGCGCTCCGTGCGTTCTCACGCGCCTGCGACATCCGAATTCTCTAGGCGCTTTGTTGTTGCTGCGGTTCTTCACTTTGGTAGCGGCTCTGCCCTTCTTAAAAGTGTCAAGCGTCTTTCCAGATGGCCCATTCCCCTTCTGTTGGGGTTCTTCGGTGCCAACTCCTCTTTCTGCGCCTTCGCTGTCGACGTTCACATTGGTGCTTCCCACAGCCTCCGTAGTGGCCTTCTGCTGCAAGCGTCGAAGCTCCTGGAGCGTCAGCCGCTGCGCGGCTCCCCGCATGGTAGCGAGGCACACGGAGCCTTTGCAAGGGGGCAAAAAGCGCTGGCCCCCCTCCCCGCCGAAGCAGCACACAGCCAGGGGGAGGAAGGCTGTAGCCGCAGATCTCGCAGGCTCGCTCTCCTCCGTGCAGCTGAGCGCAAATACCGACGGGGCCAAAAAGGGGCAATCGTGGCTACAGTAGAAATAAAATCTCGCAAAAGTAGATATTTAAAAGCAATCTTGGCCTGCCAGGTGACCTTGTCGAGAAACAAAGGAGAAAAAGTCTACCAAGCGCTTCATAGAACAGGCGCACCGCACATGAGGAAGGGGGGCCAGCCGGGGGGGGGTGCCCGCTCCCACAACCCTTGAGTTGCCATTGAATTTCTTCCTTCCAAGTCATTTTTATTCGGGCTGCTGACTGCTTTTTGAGTGGAATATTGTGTGTATGGGAGGCTGGCTCTGCCGCTGTGAAGACACCCGCAGACGCAGCGTGCTGCCGCCAAAGGAAGCGATTTTGAGGCTGCCGTTGAGGCTGCCTTCTTTTGAATGTGCATCACGGCAGGACCTTTTCATATCCCTCCGGAGAAGGCGTCTGCAGCGGCTTTCTTTTCGTCGGGGTGCAGGGCAGTCGGTGGGGGCAGGTAAGGGTCAGCAATGTAATGTTTGTCTTGGAAGTACCCGAGTTTCGGAGGGGGAAGGTTCATCGCAATGCAGTTCCTCCCTGCGTCCCTCCTTTCGCTGCGGCGCCCTTCTTGCAGACAGCTGTGGGAAAACGTTCAGCGAAGTGTATGCTCTCCGACGGCACAAGCGCAGCGAGGCTGGACAGCAGCGCAGGCGGCTTCGCGTGCACGCGCCAAATCGGGTACTGCTGCTGCTGCTGCTGCTGTCGATCGCGCGTCAGAGTCTGGCGGGATATCTGCCACGTGCAGTGTGCGTTTGGGGGCTTGCACGGAGTCGGGTGCCTCTCTTGAAAGGGGGGGGAACTCAGCGAAATACTGCAACAGGAGAACGTCTGCCCCCCCTGGTGATGAGGAAGTCAACGGCAGCCTGCTCGTTACGAGCACCCGCAGCACCGAGGGCCTCATCCCCGTCGGAAAGCTCTTGGCTTTGAGGGGTTTCTGCTCCCGAGGCGAGGGAGACACCTTCTTTTCCCTCGGATTAGTTCTTTTAGACGGCCGTCGTCTCGAGCGCAATGAGGCCTATGTTCATCCCGATGCGCCCGTTCAGCTAGCTCCCCGAGCTGAGCGACTCATGCGGCAAAAAGTGACGGTGTTGCTGCACAAGCCGATGCACTACCTTGCCTGCCAAGCCGACAGCCAGCAGGTTCGTCCTCCCTTCTTTTAAAGCGTGCCTGGCTCTCTGGGTAAGCATAGATGGGCTGAAAAATAGTGCCTTGCGGCTTGCGCCTCTAGCCCCCCTTCTTCTTCATGAATGCCCACAGTCTGCCCGGCTGCCAACTGATATATGACGCAGACGCGCGGAGAAGCGAGAAAGAGGCCTCTGGCTCGCTCTCTGTTGTGTCGTGAAAATCAGTGGAATCCCACTGGACGCTGCCAAGGCGTTGACGTGCAGAGCTGCAAGAAACTCGTCGTTGCAGGAAGACTGGATGCCGACAGCTCCGGGCTGCAAGTGCTTACGCAGGTAAAATAAAATAGAAAATACTCCCTCTAGAGCGCACTTGGCGCGGCACGATGTATGCAAAAAGGCGGTAGCTAGCTTGCTGTGGCTTGCTGCAACTTCCTGCAGCTTGCTGTAGCATGCTACAGCTTGCTGTAGCATTCTCCTATAAGCTGCGGTGCCTCCCCCTTACAGCCAACCCGCGAAAAAAGTAGCACAGGTAGGCCTCCAAGCGGCATTTCACGTCTGCATTACGTTACGTTTGGCTCCGGCGATAATGCAGGATGGGCGTATCGCTGCTCAGTTGCTTGGAGGAGCTGGGGAAAGCGTCTCTAAGGAGTATCTGGTTCAGGTAAGAGAAACACATCCTGCGCTTGGCAATGTGTCGAAGCATCAGATTCCGCCGCTCTAAAGCAGACGCGGGCATGCGGCTAGAAGTCTTTGGCTCAACTGAAGGCCTTATAATAGTGCCTGGCGTGATCGTCTTTGCATCGTATCTCGTATGGTGATCCGTTAAGCCCCCCCTCTCTCAAGCATGTTTCTAGCAGCGGACTTCCTCTGGGTGCCGCGCTGCCCCCGCTTCCGCTTGGCTCCAGGAGGACTACGTAACTGTTCAGCCTAAAGCAACGTATCTGTGCAGACATCGCGGCGTGTCTGTCTCCCCCTCCCTCTCAACAGAAGCCCCTCCGTTGTTTGGCTCGCAAGACGTTTTTCGCAGTGATCGTCTTCGCCCGTTTTCCGAGCGTAGGGTCACTGTGCCTTGCCATCACTCTATGTGTGCTGCTCTTGGCCGCCTTCCGTCAGGTCGATATCCCTCCTTCGGATGCAGCTCTTACCCTCCTACAGTCAGGACTTAGCCTGGACGGCTGCGAGCTGCTTCCTGCAGTGGTGAGGCTCGTGCATCCGCAAGTGGCCAAGCGGCTGCTCAACGACTGTCCTCCTGCTGCGCATCCTGCGGAGGCTGCGCATTTAGACGCGGCTGTCTGCCAGCAGCACGCACCTCGACGCAGCGTGTTCTTCACCATCGAGCTCCGCGAAGGCAGAAACAGACAAATTAGAAGAATGTGCGAGCTTGTTGGTCTTCGAGTCCTCCGAATCCACAGAATCAGAATCGGAAACGTACATCTGGGGCAATTACCCCTCGGCCACTGGCGGTTCCTCCAACCAGGAGAAACCTTTTAGTGACAGCCCGTACCGTGGGAAGCCACCCATGCTACGTATGCACCCTTGGGGAAATAGAGCAGAGGCGTCTGCCTAAAACAGCGCCAACACCCCTCGTTGCTGCGTGCTTTTGTTCGCCTGTCTGTAATTCAGCCTTTTTTTATCTGGAGTAGCGAGTAACAGCTGCACGCTCACAGGGGGGCAGCATATATATATATATATATATATATGTATATATATGTATATATATGCGCGTGCTGGGGAAGCGGATACTCTCTCTCTCTCACTCTCTCTCTCTCTCTCAGTCCTGACCGTCGTCGTTGAGGTAAAGAGTGTAGATCTCGGTTGTCACCGGTCCATTAAATAACAAATCAGTGTTCATTCTT